GCTCCCCACCGCTTCACCCGCTAAATAAATCCCCAGAGTTCCGTGGTTCATACACACATAGGTTGATTCCAAGCAAAGCACTTTTACCCATGCCTCTGTGGCTGCAGGTAAGTTCACTTGGTAATATAATTGTCCGAGCCTCATTCAAAGAAGAAGAAAAAAAAAAGCACTGCCACCAAGTCCATTCTGACTCGTGGTGACCCTGTAGGGCAGGGTAGAGCTGCCCTGGGGGTTTCCAAGGCTATAACCCTTTACAGGAGTAGGAAGACTCATTTTTCTCCTGAGAAGCGGCTGGTGGTTTTGAACTGCTGACCTCGAGGTTAGCAGCCCAACTTGGGATCACTGCACCACCGGGGCTCATGGGGTGCCTTAAAAATTTAAAAGGTCCCATCAAAACAGTATCTTTTAAGGGAATCTGCGGGGCCAGTTAAATTTCCGGCAGAGAAGACAGCACAGAAGGCATGACAACTGTTTTCTTAATATTCCAAAGGGTTTATCTTCATAGATATTTTTCCTCGAAGGACAGAGGAAGAGCACGAGTTTTATTATGCAGAAGTTTTAAGAAAATTGCAAATTTCAGTAATGAGTGTGTGGTGGTGGGGGGGATAAACCAGAAAGTTATGATGCTTTGTTTTCCATCATAGCGAAGCCCCTGCTCATTCTTCAAAGGGAGTAATAAGAGCTGTCCTAGAAATTCATTGAGAAAATCTTACTCCATTCACCCTACAGTTCTGATTCACCCTTCAGATTTCTTCCATAATCCATCATCCCCAAGCTCAAAGAACATTGAAAAGGGACATCATTTAAGTCTCCTGATGACATCAAATCTGCCAATTGATGGAGTGCAAAAAAAAAAAATGCTTCTTTGGGAAAAGGCTTAGAAAGATGGCAACACTACCATCAGAAGTGTGGAGACCCAGGTAGAAGATACTCTGAGGAAAAATAGCTTCACATTCAGAAATGTTTGTTTAATACAAGTGTCTAAGCATCCTGCACAGAGGGGTCACAAGGAAGAGACGAGCCAGTCAGGGTGCAGTATAGCACTGACAAAATATACCAACACTCCTCTCTAGTTCTTTAATGCTACCCCCGCTCCCCCCCCTCCCACCACCTGCCCACTATCATGACTCCAATTCTACTTTACACATCCAGCTAGAACTGAGCATGTACACTGGTACAGACAAGAGCTCAAAGCACAGGGAATCTAGGACAGATAACCCCCCCAGGACCAATAATGAGAGTAGTGATACCAGGAGGGTAGGAGGAAGATGAGGGGAGAATGGGGGAACCGATCACAATGATCGACATATGACCCTCTCCCAGGGGGATGAACAACAGAAAAGTGGGTGAAGGGAGAAAGTGGTTGGTGTAAGACATGAAAAAAATAATAATTTGTAAATTATCGAGAGTTCTTGACAGAGAGTAGGGAGAGAGGAAATGAGCTGATACCAGGGGCTCAAGTAGAAAAAAATGTTTTGAAAATGATGATGGCAACATATGTACAAAGTTGCTGGACACAATGGATGTATGTGTGGATTATGTAAGTGTCCCCAATTAAATGATTTTAAAATATATATATATATATACACTGAGAATCTCAAATAAATAAGTCAACATGTCTATGATGTTGTAGCAACACTTTTTGACTTGCTCTCATATAACCATGCTACCTACTGTTTGTTGGACATCATCTCATGCCAGGCATTGTTGTTGGTAGGTGCCCTTCAGTCAGTTCTCACTCGTAGCGGCCCTGTGTACAACAGAAGGCAACACCGCCCCGTCCTGTGCCAGACAGGACCTGGCAGAGTGTCTGAAACTCTCCCCTAAATATCTGAGATGGGTATTGTCTTACAGGTGAAATGGAGACCCAGAATTACTCAGAGGTCCCTTTAACAAGAGGCACCTAATGACAGAGCCGACACCCCCATGGTGGCCTCTTTAGCATATGAGTCCATGTTCACCTCACTGTTCTGGCTGAATCCTAGTTGCAAACATCTCCTGGCCCTTGTCAGAATGTTGTAGTGGTTCTTCTTTGATCGAGAATCCGTTCTCAGCTCTCGTGGAGAGGAGCCAGTACAGTCTCCACAGCGGCCACGGACCACGGACGACTGCGTGGGGTAGCCTGTGGTTTGCGCATCCCTGGATTTTCCGCAAGGAAACCTGAAGACAGGCATGAAGATGGAGAATCTTTTCGATGTTGACCTCTGGAGTTAATTGTAAAATAGTCCCTACTGACATTTTAGGTTGCGGAAAGGGTTCCCAAGTAGGCAAAGCCTACGCTCTGTCATAGCTAATCTGGGATTTGTCCATTTCCAGCCACACGCACACGGTGGGAGATGGCTTCGTCGAACGTCCGTTTGTTGTGCACTCTGAGAAGTAGTGCTCTTTTTGTGTCCAGAAGCAACTGCAAATAGAAGGAGAATACAGTTATCCCTTAGAAGGGACTGGTGGTTTTGGCGAAGTTGTAGATCGTTGATAAATAAAAAGAGTGGGCATGATATTTTTTCTCAATCACGGTGATCATGTCTAGACATGAGAAGAAAGGGCGTGGGAAGAGCACGGTGGGGGAGCGAGAAGGGAGCAGAAAGAACCTGCGGTTTCTATGATCCTTCCTGAAGTTCAGGCTATGTAGGGAATTGGGCCTAGGCCTCCAGTCATGTTTCTCAGAATTATATGAGGGCACTGTAATAATGGTATGGTTTTCCATTCCCTGGAATGTTTGCTACAATAGAGGGGCATCAAAAAACAGGAAGGGCTTCAACAAGGTTGATTGACACCATGGTGGCAACGATGGGCTTGAACATAACAATCATTGTAAGGATGACCTGGGGCAGAGCAGTGTTTGGTTCTGCTGTGCACCGGGTCCCTAGGGAGCTGCCACCAACTTGATGGCACCTAACAGCAAGTACAGTGGTTGTGAATGAGCACTTGGCTACTAACTGGAAGGTCGGAGGTTCAAAAACCTGGAAAGCCTTCTGGCACATCGTTCTACTCTGACACACACAGGGTGGGAATCAACCGGGCAGCAATGGGTTTGTTGGGTGTTGCTGATTTGGTTTGGTTGTGGTTTCGAAAAATGGAGACTCGGGACTCTGCCTCCAGACCCAGGAAACTACAAGAGGCAAAGGCCTGCATTTTGAACTAGCGATCCATTTGGTCCTGAGCGAAATGTTCCTCGGACTTCATTTCGAGGAACAAGATTCTCTCAGATCTTCCCACGAATCTGTCCATCAATCCATCCAGCCTTCTAAGCCCAGGATGAGGACACAGAAGAAAGGTGGAGTTCCTGGCCCGGTGGAGTAGACAGACTTGGCAGCAGATGGCTGCACTGTGAATAAGTAAAGCAGAAAGAGCTGGGCATTCTGGGAGCATGGAAGAAAGACATCGGCCTCAGCCTGGGGGCTGGGGGTGGGGGGAGTAGGGAGCACAGCCTGGGCATCAGGAGAAGGTAGTACGTTCTCCACCATGAGTGAGCCTCAGCCAGGAAGAAGCCCAAGTGCAGGGAGCCCCTGGAAAAAGGCCACATGATCTCATTTTGGAAGCGCTTAAAATGAGAGCCAGCAAAAGGGAAGGAAAGGGGTCCCCAAGAAGCTGGAGGCTGCCCACGTCTCTTCACAGCAAACTGGTTTTGTTTTCCACCTGGATTGTTGTTGTGGGTTGCCAGGATTTGCATGACTGTGTTTGCAACTGCACAGGATCATGCTGGTGCCGTGATTAAGATGCAAACCCACCAGGCCCCTCCGTGGGACGATGTAGCAGTTTGCTTCCAGGAAGAGTGTTGTTGCTGTTAATTGCCATCGAGTCAGTTCTGACTCACAGCGACACAAAGTACCAGAGACTGAGACACTGCCTGGTCCTGCACCATCCTCACACTTATGCTTATGTGTGAGCCCACTGTGCCAACCCAATTTGTCGAAGGTCTTCTTTTTCGCCGCCCCGCCACCTTACCAAACACGATGTCCTCCTCCAGAGACTGCTCTCTCCTGATACGATGCTTAAAGTTTGTGAGATGAAGTCTCGCCACCCTGGCCTCTAAGGAGCATTCTGGTCCTACGTCTTCCAAGGCCGATTGGTTTGTTCTCTTGGCAGTTCAAGTACATTCCATGTTCTTCGCCAGCATGATCCTGCAAAGGCATCGACTCTTCTGCCGTCTTCCTTAGTCCACATCCAGCTTTCACATGCAATTGAAAATACCCTGGCTTGGGTCATGAGAAAGGGAGAAAAGATGGAAGTGGTCAAAAATGGCCTCAGGATTCGATCCACAATCGATGCTCATGGAAGCAGCCATTAAGAAATCCAAGGATGCATGGCATTGGGTCAGCCTGCTGCACAAGACCTCTTTGAAGTCTGAAAAGCAAGGAGCGTGGGGGTGAAGACTAAGGTGTACCTGACGGGAGCCATGGTATTTTATATTTTTAGCACGTATATGATGCCTGGGGACATGAATAAAATAAAATAGGGCTCACATCCTCCTTGACATGAATTAGGATCAAAAGTCCCTGTAGTTGCCACTTGTTCTCGGGAGTTCACTGGATGGGGTGGAACTTTGGGTCATCCGCACCTAGCTTGGTAACACCCAACATGCGGCTTTGCAAACAACAACCCCAGC